AAGGATAATAGGGGGAATATGATGATAAAGATGAATGAGATAATAGTTTTAGAGAGACCAAACCATGATCAGAAGCACCTAAGGGTGAGTGTGGAGAAACTGAGCACTGACTAGGATCAGAGACAAGACATAAGTCGAGTAGAGAAGGTAAATGATGAGTTTGAAAGTTGACTATTTGAGTTAGGGATTGAGAAAGGCAAAAGTTGTGGGCCTTAATGCCTGCAGAGTCACTGACACTAGAGCCAAGCCATTCAATGTGATGAACATTAAAGTCACCGACAACAACAATATTGGCTGATGGATAAAGAATGAGGGCTTGGTCAATATAATCAGAAATAACATCAAGAAGAGTGCAGTCTTGAGATGAAGGAGAGGGATATAGAACAAAGAGAGTGATAGAAGTGGTGCTAAACGAAAGCACATAAAAGAGTAGTCTGTGGATTTAAACCTAGTTTCCCGACAAATGGGTGGATTCTTACAAATGTAAATGCCCAGGCTAAGCTTGTGACTATTGGAGTCTTCACAAATTAAAGGAAGATAACCATCAACACTGAGATCACAAGATGAGACAGCTGAACTCAACTTAGTCTCACAAAGAGCAAGTAGGTCTGGTGAACTTTGCAAGAGATAAGACACAACAGAAGAAAAGTTACTTTGAAGACCACGAATATTGGTGAATGATAGGTTTAGCGAACTTGGTGATGACTGTGGTTTTTTGTGTTTTACAGTTTTTGTTACTTTATTCATTTTTAAATTTGTTAAAGAACTTGACTCGAAACATAGATAGTAATCAGTACAGTTTTATAGCCCAAGTAATTGCATCATTTCCACTAATAAACCCTAAGCTGTAACAAAGAGCTCCAATGTGGCCTTGGCAATGCACATCAAAAGTACAAACAGGGACACCATCCATGAGCAACATCGCACTGTTAGTATATTTCAGCTGTTGATGGAATCAGCCTCTCTGAGAGCTACCACAAAGTTCGGGAAACCTGACTATCAGACGGCCTCAGAACCATAAAACTGAGTTTTAGAGCTGTACCCTTATTTGGAGATAATAGAATGAGTTGCCTAGTCATAAAAACAGAGACACAAGCAAAACCCATGCATCAAGTCAAGAAGATCCAGCGTTCAACATCCTAAACTGGAAACAATGTATTAAAAATACATCTGCGCCAGCCTAATAGATGAAGAAGGGGTGCGAGGCTGGTCAACAGATAGAATTTGTTTACCCCTTATATTATAAAGACAAAGAAAAAATTTTGGAAAACGCAAAGATGCTGAAAGGCACAGGTATTTTTATCAATGAAGATTTTTTATTTGAAACTAACAAAATAAGACGCAAATTAAGTGAAAAGATGAAGATTGAGCGTAACGCTGGAAAATATGTTATTATTGAGTACGATAAGTTAATAGTGAGAGAGTTTAATCTAAAAGCTAAATAAGTAGTTTTATTTTTTATTTATGTTTCAAAATTTTGTATAAAGCCATGTATAAAAATGGAGCAAAACTCTATATTTTAATTTTCTAATGAAAATAATAATAATAATGACACTGAAACAGACTGTTTTGACAAATTGAATTTTGAAAGCAAATACTATTCAGTTTATCAATCGACACAATATCTTAAAAAGAATAAATACGCATTTTCAATTTTAAATATTAACATCTGAAGTCTAAATAAAAACATTGAAAATTAAAAATTTTATTGGACGAAATAAAACATGATTTTAGCATTATTTGTCTAACAGAAACACGGTGTAAATAAACAAAGTACTCAGTTTGATTTAATTAATTACACATCAATTCATCAACCACGTGATAATTATGGTGGTGGAGGCATTAGTATTTTTGTCCACAATTCAATTTTTTCTCTCGTAATGACCTATGCGTAAATGAAACAGATTGCGAGTCATTGTGCATTGAACTTTTTAATAAAACCACAAAAAACATAATCGTTAATGCTATTTATAGAAAGGCATCTGGTAGCTTAAAAAAATTTAAAACTCACTTAAACGCATTTTTAACTATAGTCAATAAAGAATGGAAGCATATTTACCTTGTAGACGATATCAATTTGAACTTGTAAAACAAGCTTCAAATAAAATTAATCATTTTATTGATAAACTTCTTCAACATAATGTTATTCCAACAATAAATAAGCCAACCAGAATAACTAAGAATTCTTCTACTTTACTTGATAATATAATCACTAACAATTTTTATAACAACTATATTTTCACAGGTATAATCAAAACAGACTTATCAGATTATTTTCCTCCTTTTTAATAACTAATAATATAACTATTAATAAGATTTCTTCTAAATTTACAATATACAGGCGGCAGATCAATAAATACTCCTTACAAAAATTTCAACACCTTTTAAAATAACGTTGATTGAGATCTTATTATGCAACCGGTAGAGGTAATTAATGCCTAAGAACTATTTCTTAAATTTTTTTGTGAGCAATATGAAAAAGCTTTTCCTGAGGAAAAAATTATTATAAATACCAAGTCATATCAAGCTCCATGGATGTCTAAAGGTTTATTGAAATCTTCAAAGAAAAAAAAAAGTTGTATGAGAAATTCTTAAAAAAAAAACGTATAAAAATGAAACAAACTACAAACTTTATAAAAATATATTTGAAAAAACTAAACAACAATCAAAAAAAATTTACTATTCAAAGTTGTTAAAAAAAACTAACGGAAATGCCAAAAGTACGTGGAGCGTAATAAACTTTCACTTAATGTTAACAAAACTAAGTTTATTCTATTTCACAAACCAACCAAACAGGAAGCCTTCCTTTAAAATTATCTTAAAATCAATAATATAAATATTACTAGACAAACAACTGTAAACTTTTTAGGTATTATTTTAGACGAAAATTTAACATGGAGGAAGCATATAAGCACTCTTGAAAAAAAACTTTCAATAAACATTGCAATGATGTATAAAGCAAAACTATTTTTGGATATAAGATCTTTAAAAAGTTTATATTTTTCCTTTATACATAGCTACTTAACTTATGGCAATATCGTATGGGCAAGCACCAGCTAGGCTAAGTTTAAGAAAATTTATACTAAACAAAAACATGCATGTAGAATTGTATTTGGAGTAAAAAGAACTGTGCCTTGTGAGCCACTTCTACGTAAACTCAATTCCACAATTCAAATCTAAATTAAGAGGTTATTTAGTACTTACAGATTTTAATATAGCAGATTTACTGTCACTTTTAAAATTTATTAAACTAAATTAGCACCATAAATTTAAAAATCTAGACCATTTAACTATGTTAAGAATTTCAATGTCTTTATCATACTTTCATTGAAAATATATACTCTTGAAGTTTTCTAGATATATTTTATTTAACAATTTTCTCGATATATTTTATGATATTGGAACAGAAATTTTATTTGAATTTTGAATTATTTTGAAAGAAAATAATATATATATATATATAAATATATATATATATATATATATATATATATATATATATATATATATATATATATATATATATATGTGTATATATTGTACAATATATATTTTGGAATCACATTCAGTTTATAAACAATAACAGAAAATTTTTGTTTTTTTTATTACTATATTTTAATCATTTCTTTTTTTTTTTTCAATTACTTTATTATTTTCTTAAATTTTATTTCTTAATATCTTAAAATTCTTTTTTTTTTAAATGCTGTTGGTTATATATTACAGATTATTATATATTACTGATATTTATTTGCGTTACTATTGGGGCTCGGTGATAAGGCTAATTTATGCCTTCTTCTTGCTCCAGCCAATTGTACTTTTTATATTATTGTACTTCGTGAATATTTTTAACGGCAAAATAAACTAATAAACTAATTAATAAATAGTTTTAAAGAAATGACATTGTAATTACTATATTTAGTCTTTATTAGAATATATCCCATAAAAATATATTCTATATATTTTTAATAAAAAGAATTTTACAGAAAAATTTAAATAAAATTTTATTTCTAGTTTGTTTTTTCTAGTTTTTTGCCACAAAGCAACGTCACATTCACTAAAAGATTTTGGCTTCAACGATTTACGAAAACTCTGCAACTATCATTTTTAATGGTCTAAGGAACTTAAGGAGTTGGTTTAAAATGGCGTATGTTTGAAAATAATTAACTTAAAAAATGTTAACTTTTATATAAAAGTTAACATTTTTTAAGTTAGTTATTTTCAAACTTAGTCATATATATCTATAGTAAATGTAGCTTATTTATGTGTGTGTGTGTGTGTGTGTGTGTGTATATATATATATATATATATATATATATATATATATATATATATATATATATATATATATATATATATATATATATAGTATAATATATTATATTTTTAACATTTTTAAGTTATTGTAACTGTTATTTTTATTTGTTATAAAGCCTTTAGTTTCTTCTTTAAAAGTTTTCGTTTCCTTTTTTCTTTTTCCAAAATTTAGAAGTGATTAGTAAATTAAAGTGAAAAACTAGTGAGCAATAGTAATCAAATGTTCATTCATTCTAAAGTTAAATTTGCACAATTACTATATTATTTTACTATAATATTATATATACACTATAATTTTTACTTTTATGAATTAAATTACTCAAAAACAGTTAATTCCTAATTGTTATAAAAGTATGAACACTAGTGGGATAAGAGATAATCTCAAAAATTACATATCCGGCTAGATACTAGATACCAGATTATCTGGCATTTTAGCTGAATTATCCGGTCGGATATCATATCCGGTACACCTCTATATACAATGAATCACAAAAGATTTTATGCTGAAATTTTCAGAAATTGCTTTTCTCATTGATTTAAACCAACCCACCAAGCTTCATCAAAAACTAAGGGGGTGCATGTTGAAATCCTAAAACTTTGGTCTATTTGGCATGGAATGATCCTATTGCCTAAACTCACCACTAATTTAAATATCTCAAATAATAAATTTTGTAAAAAAAATATACCTTGCATGTTGTTAATAGCATCATAGTTGATTTCTCAAGCACAGATCTTGAAGCACAAACCTCGGCTCGTTGAAGATCATCTTTTAAATCCTAAAAATAAATCATTGTATGTAAAAAACCATATGTATATATATATATATATATATATATATATATATATATATATATATATATATATATATATATATATATATATATATATATATATATATATAATAAATTATATCAAAAAATATACAATATGTAAATATATGTTATATAATATTATACCACTGTAAATTAATATAATATATAGTGTATATTAATAACACTTAAAAAATTATTCCATATTCAATTTAAATTAAACCTTTTAAATTAAATTTTGAGTTTAGTTATCTTTTAATAATTTTTCAAACTAGAATGTAGCATAATGAGTATATAATGTAATATATGTGTAGTGTATATAATTTAGTATATAATAAGTATATAATGTAATTACAAAAGTTATTTAATATTTTATTATTTATGTTATTATTATGTATATATATCATTATAAATTCTCCTTTATGAGACCGACAGACAGAATATTTGCTTTAAATATAAATTTTAACACTTGATTTTTAGAATCTATAAATTTACAAATAGTTCTAATTTTGACAAAGAAAAGGAAAAAAAAAAAGAAAAGGTTTTATCATGATCATACTTTACAGCCTTATTTCTAAATCTTTATAACAAATTGGGACACTCAAGATTTGTAATTTCAGCTTTTAATAAGCAATATACACTTTTAATTTTTATAAGCACAACATTTTGAGACCATTTTCCTACTTTATCGGGATATTTGGCTATAAAATTTCAGAATTTTCCAAAATATTTCCTCAAAAATTTTTAAGACTTTTCAGGATTTTACCTAAAGATTTTTTGGATAATAAATTTTAAGTCAAAACATTTTTTAAATTGAAACAAAGCATTCAAAACGATATTGAATAATAAAGTTCAGATAAATATACATTTTAAGCTTTTACTTTTTTACAAAACGGAAAACATAAAATATTCAAATAAACTTTAATAACGCTTTCTGTTTACAAAAAAAAAAGAAGGAACATATAGTTATTTTTCTGTTTACAAAAAAAAAAAAAAGGAACATATAGTTATTTTTCTGTTTACAAAAAAAAAACGGAACATATAGTTATTTTTCTGTTTAGAAAAAAAAAAAAGGAACATATAGTTATTTTTCTGTTTACAAAAAAAAGTTATTTTTTATAATTTATTCTTAAATTTATTCTTTAATTTAATTTAATAAATAAAAAAATTAATAAATTATTATTACAAGTTCCTCTCTCTTTTTGAAACTACAGTGAACTTACTACTACAGTATTTTTTTTTTTTTTAATTGGAACATTGAATGAACCCTTAGTCCAGATATAAGCCTGTAATGTACAAAATTAATAAGTAAATTAATTAACATAAATAATACACATAATTATTAAGTAAAGTAATAAATTAACGTAATTAATGTACATAACTATTATAATAACTTGATTAAACCACAAAACCATTTAAATCAAAAAAACCAAATACAAATCAAAATAAACTTACATTTTGTCTTTCACCAGATATATTGGCAAGTTCCACCATGTCACTACCAAATTGACTAAATTTATAAACAAATTCTGTAAAATTTTTCACATTTTCCAACTCGAGTAATCGTTTGTCTACCTAAAAGAAATTTTAAGTGATTAGAAATTAAAAAAATAGCTAGAAAATAGTTTCAAGCTTTCATTTAAAAATCTTTAGGATTCTTAAAAATAAGTTGAAATATATATTTTTTTAATTTAACAATTAATTTTATTTTGTTGCTTTTTTATTTTTCTTTCTATGTGGTTAATGTAAGGTTTTTGTAATGTGGGCTGTGTTTAGTTATGTTTGGTTTTGTATGTTATAGTTATGGTAATGTTAGGTACTTATAAGTATGGTTAAACACTTAGTAAAAAATTATCTAATATTAATTAACATGAGTTTATTACATAGATATTTGATTGATGAGCTTTCAGTTAATGAAATTAATGGTTGAACTTTAAAGTGGAATAAATTTAAAAAATCATTAACAAAAAGTGATAATAGGAGAGTTTTTAGTGCATTAAAAAGAGGTTTGGATTGGAGTATTACAAGGCTCCATGCTTGAACCTATTCTATTCATAATATTACAAATTTGCCAGAACAATTCTTGAATGTAAAAATATTGTTTGTTGATAATACTAAATTATTAGCAAAAATTACACGGCGATAAATATGCATTACAAGATGAATAACAAAATAGAAAAATGTTATTAAACATTTATGTATTTGAATGATAGAAAATGTAAAGTATTGCACTTGGCAGATCAGATAACTATCACAACTAGACAATCCCATCAAAAAAAAAAAAGAAATAAGTTTATGCAGCACAAATGAAGAATAGGATCTGGGTATTTATTTTTCTAGTACTATAAAGCACCATAGTCAAGTAATGTATGCATCAAACAAAGCAAATAGAATACTTGGAATGGAATATTAATCTACGCAAAACATTATACACACATACTGTGTATTATATATATATATATATATATATATATATATATATATATATATATATATATATATATATATATATATATATACATATATATATATAATACATATATATATATAATACACACACATAATAATATAAAATGTCTTTTTTTTTCTTACCTTTTCAATTGAGTTAACTAGACGCTTGATCGCAATTCTATCAGCCAAAAGAAGAATTCGAGTAATTGAACTCAACAACATTCGAGATGATTCTGTCAATGTTGACTTGTTAAAATTTTCATGGTTAATTAGTTCTGTAACAAATTTATTACATGCTCGGCTTGCAATATCACAAGCTTCCAGCATTTCATCTAAATAAATTATATAATTACAGATCACTATGAAGTATTATTACTAAGTAAAATTCGACATATACATGAAAATACTAACCTATCCCAAATTTTATAAACATTTAGCAGTGTATAAAGAAAGTCACTGTAATTGTTATTTTAGTATTTTCAACAAAACAAAAATAATTTAAAAGCTTAAAATGTTATGCTGCTTTATTATTGGTGGCCTTGTTATGTAGCTTGCAGTTTACAGATGCCTTAGGCTATTTTACATACACCTAAAGCGATTTTGGTAAAGAGATTTTTCAATATCAAATTTTGATGTAATTTTATAGTCTTTGTAAGTTTGGCAAGTTATTGAGGAGGAAGGAAAGGTAAAAATTACCAAAAAATTGTTGACATTATTAATGGACAACCCCTTCTAGACGTTAAACTTTTTCTACTTTAAAGTTTCATAAGACAAATGAAAACATACCAGTATATACTTTTTAATAAATGGTACTAGGAAACCAAAAATAATAAAAAGAGGTGATGACTCGATAAAATCAAACTACAGATTAACTCAATGAAGTTAAGGTACTTTTCAAAAAATTGCCATCATTCAGTTATTAGTTTAAACAATTAAGATATTTCCATAAAATCTGGTCTGCAATATAAACAAGATTGTTTAAAAGAATAGCACAAAAAAATTTACTGTGGACTACAAGCATTCTTTTAATATTTATTAAAAATGTAATATGCCTATTAAGATTTTATATTATATTATTTAACATAATATAAAATCCTAACTTTAGCTTTTTTGTCAGACCATAGGTTCTTGAAGGAAAGGAAATTTATGGATTTAAACAGCTCTTTAGATCTGTATTTATGTCTAAATCAAGCACAATTATTAACTTTATTTTAAAAAATTTGAAGCAAACTGACTGAGCTAAACATTAAAATTTCAAAAAAAGACTTAAAAGTCTTTTTTTGAACTTTTGTTTTAATAAAATTAAAGACATTTTTTTAAAACATAAGCAGAAGTAGTTGTATTAAACAAAAATAAATTTTCATTTATTTTATTTCATTTCAAACTTAAGTAATAGATTGTCAAAGATGCGACTTTTATAAAAAATTTCGATTTAAGTTATACTAACTTGCCTTAACTTACATTCATTCGTAAAAATGATGAGAAAAAAAAAAAGAATTTAGTTTATATTAAATATTAAAAAAAAGTAATATTTATTCTAATTATTTAATATTAAAAAAAAACATTTTATATTATATTTACATAATAAATTCAATTTTTTAATTGAAATCATTTCGTGTTAATTTATTATATTGTGGCACTTTAAAAAAAGTTAATGTCTTTACAAAAAAAAAAAATAATAATAAAAGAATTTTATGACATCAAAATCACATTAAGCTAAAGCGTTAAGCATTTTTTATTTGAAATTAGGACTGTTATTGCAAAAACAATTTTTATGAAAAAAAGGTTTCATCATGTTTAAAACAATACAAAATAACCTGGTTAAACAAATATTACTTTTAATTATTTGTCTGGCATGTTGGGCAAAGCTACCAACAAGCTTTAATTTACCTCATTAAATTTCAAAAAGTTTTATGCTCATTATATTTATTACATCTGTTTTATGCAAACAATATTTTAAACATAGTTGTATTATACAAATAATATTTAAAACATAATAAAGAGTTTTTGAAAAGAATAGAAAGAATATTGCTATTTTTGTTGCAGTAAATTTGTTGTTTTTTCAGAAATATTTTTTGTAATCTTGTAAACTTGATTAAATTTTCCCCTTAGAGTTAGTAGATTTTGCTATGAGATTTAGTTGCATAACAGAAAACATAATGCAAGCAAATTTAACTTAACTCAATAAACATATTTAAATCGTTTAAAGTTTATAAAAATCAATGAAACTTTAATATGATTTAAGTCAAACAAAAGATTTCTAGCACATTCTACTTTTCAAAAGTTTTTAAATTGATCCATTTGGATTATATCATGCCAAATAAATCAAAATTTTAGAATTTCAATATAGAATACCTCAAATTTTGATGAAACTTGGTGGGTTGGTTTATATCAATGAGAAAAGCAATTTCTGATTTTATGCTGAAATTTGAATTTCTGAATTCAAATTTCAGCATATAATCTTTTGGAGTTCATGAAATATGGCCATTTAAAATTCGAAATATAAAAAACTTAGTAGCTAAAACATGTTTTGATCATGTTTTGTTTATACTTTGGAGTTCTATATTTTAAAAAGAAAATTTAAGAAAACCTTCTAGTTTTTTTTATTGTATACAACTTTAGACTTTAATAAAACTTTAACATTAAATTTTCACATGTCACATTTTATCCATAATGGTTACCTAAAAACTCATTTGCAATAAATAAAATCTGCAATTTAAGTAGCGAAAAGACATTTTTTTAGTTTCTATAAATGATAGGCTTCCAAAATTTTAGAAACTTACTGATAAGTTATAATTCAGTAAAAAACTCCTAAAAATGACTCTGACTAAAACTTAGAATTTTGTGCACTTCAAACCACCAGTAACCTAGAATCAACACTGATTAGATAGACTTTATAATATAATGTTTTCAGAAAAAAAGAAAAGTGGTTACTCATGAGGAAGTTAAAAAATAAAAACAATGAAATTTGAAAAAAATGGATTAAAAACAATAAAATAGAGTTATTGATGTACTTTAGTTTGTATTATATACTGTAATATAAAGTATGCAAATATCTAAAAATATTTCATAATCAGTACTAGAAGTAAGTCTTAAGTTAAGCCTAAATTAAACTTGGTTTTTAAATAGTAAATATAATTATATTTGAGGTCAAGATTGGGTTTTCAATAATTTGTGAACTTAGACCAAAGTGGTGTATTTATAATTAAAGAATTTCAGGCCTTCATTCAGTATCATACTCACAAACACATATTAAGAGGCCATATTGAAACCCTTTGTTATGGCTTAGGGTTTATTAATAGAAATGAGGCAATTGCTTGGGCTCTAAAACAGTGTACTGAGTACTATCTAATTCTCGAGTCAAGTTCTTTAACAAATTTAAAAATGAATAAAATAACAAAAACTATAAAACACAAAAAACCACAGTCATCACCAAGTTCGCTAAACCTATCATTCACTAATATTTGTGGTCTTCGAAGTAACTTTTCTTCTGTTGAGTCTTATCTCTTGCAAAGTTCACCAGAACTACATGCTCTTTGTGAGACTAAGTTGAGTTCAGCTGTCTCATCTTGTGATCTTAGTGTTGATGGTTATCTTCCTTTAATTTGTAAAGACTCCAATAGTCACATGCTTGGCCTGGACATTTACATTCGTAAGAATTCACCCATTTGTCAAGAAACTAGATTTGAATCCACAGACTACGCTTTTATGTGCTTTCCTTTAGTACCACTTTACTTTATCCCCTTTTTCTTTGTTCTATATCGCTCTCCCTCATCTCGAGACTGCACTCTTCTTGATGTTATTTCTGATCATATTGACCAAGCTCTCTCTTTTTATCCATCAGCCAAAATTGTTGTTGTCGGTGACTTTAATGTTCATCACACTGAATGGCTTGGCTCTAGTGTCAGTGACTCTGCAGGCATTAAGGCCCACAACTTTTGCCTTTCTCATTCCTAATTCAAATAGTCAACTTTCCAACTTGCTTTCCAGATAACCAGAATCATTTACCTTCTCTACTCGACTTAAGTCTTGTTTTTGATCCTAGTCAGTGCTCAGTTTCTCCACACTCACCCATAGGTGCCTCCGATCATGGTTTGGTTTCCCTAAAACTATTATCTCATTCTTCTTTATCATCAGAATCCCCCTATTATCATACATCTTACAACTACCTTAAAGCTGACTAGAACTCTTTCCGTGATTTTCTTTGTGATGGCCCCTGGGTAGAAATCTTTCGTCTTCCTATTGACAATTGTGCTTCTTACATAATTTCGTGGATTCAGGCTGGCATGGAATCCTTTATTTTCTCTTGACAATTCCTCACTCTTCTCCATGGTTTTCCTCACAATGTGCTGCTGCAATTGCCAATCGAAACCATTACTATATCTATCAGCAAAACAATTCTCAAGAAAACAGACAAACAGACGTCTGTTTATTACTGCTAGGAACTTTTGTGATGAAATCTCGTAATTCATCACAAAAGTTAGGCTCTCATGACTGGAGAATATTTAATAGTATCAATAATAAGGACAAGTCTGTAATTCCAACTCTTTTGTATGGTTCAGACTTATTCAACTTACCTGAAGACAAAGCTGAATTGTTTGCCAAGAACTTTTCATCAGTATCATCTCTTGATTCCACTAGTTGCGTTCTACCTGATATAGCCGTCAAACAGGTTGATCCATTGTTTGACATCCGTATCACTCCAGCTTCTGTATCTAAAGTGATTCCCTGCTTAGACTCTTCTACAGCTTGTGGCCTGGACAACATACCTGTTAGAATCTTGCAGAAGTGTTCTCCGAAGCTGTCGTCTATCCTTTCAAAACTATGTTGTCAAACCTTTCAAAACATAGTTGGACCTGCTCTTGCAGCCAACCTTAAACCTCTGTCACATCGTTATGATGTTGCTTCTTTTTCTCTTTTCTACAAATACTATAATCGGCACTGCTCTAAAGAGCTAGCATCTCTTGTGCCATCTACTAAAATTCATTCTCGTGTTACTCGTCATTCAATTAAGTCTCATCCTTTTTCTGTTACTGTTCCTAAGTGCTCCAAAAACTCTTATTCGTCTAGTTTTTCCACGAACATTAGGTCTTTCTTCATCTTGCTTTCCTGATACATATAACTTTCAATCTTTTAAGTTGTCTGTCAATCGTTATCTTGCTCTACAATCTTCATCCTCTTACAGTAACTTGCAACACTAATTAGTTGTTGCTTGCAGCCTTTTATGGAAGCGAAGATGTAAAAAAAAAAAAAAAAAAAAAAAATTTAACAAGTGCTTATCAGAGTCTTGTTTTCCAGCCTGCTGGAAAGCAGCATCTAGAATCCCTATTTTTAAAATTTCTGGAGAGCGGTCCCATTAGTCTTCTTCCCATCATAAGCAAGGTTTTTGAATCTTTAATTAACAAACACTTAATCTCTTATCTTGAATCTCATAACCTATTTTCTGATCATCAATATGGATTTTGATTTTCTCGTTCTACGGCTGATTTGCTAACAGTAATAACTGATAGGTTTTATCGCGCATTAGATAAAGGTGGAGAGCTTAAGGCCATTGCTGTTGACATTTCTAAAGCATTTTATAAAGTTTGGCATGCTGGTATTCTCCATAAGCTTTCTTCTTACGGTGTTATCTGGAAACATCTTTAAGATTATTGAATCCTTCCTTTCCAATCGTAGTATAAAAGTTGTCCTTGATGGACAGCACTCTTGTTCTTATTCTGTAACCTCAGGGGTTCCTCAAGGTTCAATCCTTGGCCCTATACTCTTTTTAATTTACATTAACGATCTTTCAGATATTCTCACATCTAAGGTGGCATTGTTTGCTGATGATACTACCATTTACTCTTGTCACGATAAGAAGCCAACTCCCTCTGATTGCTTGCAGGGGGCATTTGAGCTTGAAAAGGATCTCACTTCTGCTACAGCAGGGGGCTCACAGTGGCTAGTGAACTTTAATTCAGATAAAACTCAATTTATTTCAGCCAATCGTTATCGCAATAATTTAGACCTTCCTATATTTATGAACAGTAATGTACTTGATGAGTCTCCTACCCTTCATCTTCTAGGATTAACTCTTACTTCTGATCTTTCTTGGAAACCATATATCAAATCCGTTTGCAAAATAAGCATCTGCTAAAGTTGCTTCTCTTTATCGAGTTCGACACTTTCTTACTCTGGATTCTATTCTCTATCTCTATAAATCTCAAATCCGACCTTGTATGGAATACTGTTGCCATATCTAAGGCGGATCTTCTAATGATGCCCTTTCTCTTTTAGACAAGGTGAAAAATACATGGTATACATAGTTGGAACTGCTCTTGCAGCCAACCTTCAACCTCTGTCACATCGTCGTAATATTGCTTCTCTTTCTCTTTTCTACAAATAATATAATGGGCACTGTTCGAAAGAGCTAGCGTCTCTTGTGCCATCTACTAAAATGCATTCTCGTGTTACTCGTCATTCAATTAAGTCTCATCTTTTTTCTGTTACTGTTCCTAAGTGCTCCAAAAACTCTTATTCGTCTAGTTTTTTTCCTCGAACATCAGTTCTTTGGAATTCACTTCCTTCATCTTGCTTTCCTTTTTCTTTTAAGTCATCTGTCAATCGTTATCTTGCTCTACAATCTTCATCTTTTCTCTTCCAGTAATTTCCAACACTAATAAGTGGTTGCTTGCAGTCTTGTTGGAAGCGAAGATGTTAAAAAAAAAAAAAAAAGTGAAAGTATCACCAAAATGCAGAACATTTGGCATTAAAAGTGCCAAATCTTTCAGACGGCATGTTGCACAGCTGAGATAACCTCCCAGATACCAGCAAATTTAAAGAGCACCTTACTACTTTGTTGGATAAACACAACATGGAAGAATATATAAAAAATGATATAGTTCTAGTAACTCTTCCAGTAAATGAATTGGTTAAAAAAACTTATCAACAAATATACCAATTAAGAGACCATCATTATACAGCCAAATTTGTCTTGTCAGGCAGTTAATTACTTGTTAGTTTTGATCAATGTAACAATTCTTTATTATCAAAGAAACATCAATTTTATGTAAAGAATCAAATTGCATGGAAAAAATGTATGCAAATAAAAAAAAAAAAAAACTATGCGAAATATTGTTAAATATTTTTTTTTAAAGTTGTTCCCTCACACTTTTTATTACTTGTTCAATTTATTAATATAACAACTTCATACTTTTTTAAAGTTTTTATTAGTGGTTTAAAAATAAAAATAAAAAAGCTAACAACTTTTTTTTCTTTTTGGCTTTAAAAAAATCTTCACCTTCTACTTGTTAACTGGTTAATCATTTCTAATGGACGTTTATTCTACAATAAGCTCTTCCACAACTGAGAGCATGATATCGATAATCAATAAAACATGGGTAAGGAAAAAAGATCTGACATTTAATGCCAAAAAATAGTTTGAGGTGTATGTTCTTCCATTTTTCAAAGGATGACTTTAAATACAATAGCTTTTTATTTGCTTATTGAAAAAAATAGATGATTTGGATTTATGGGATTTAAACTGTGCAATTCATTTAAACAAAAAAAAACAACAAAATAATCAGAGATACTTAAATTTGAATGTGCAAATGGAGGCATTTTTTCTTTTTTAAAATTTGAGGAAAAAAATTGAGTATTGCAATACAAACACATTTATAGATGTATTTTATGCAGAAAAAAAAAAAAAAAAAAAAAAAAAAATAAAATAAAATATACCTCTAATATCTGTATCTGAGTTTCCGATTTCATGGCCGATATCTGAAAACTTACACACAGAGAGTTCTAGATTAGGTAAAGCACTGTCAAGTATTTTTCGAGAAGTCTGGTCAATCACTTTTTTAATATTACTATTTACAATGATGCTGATCTAATTAAATTTAAAAAAAGAAATTCAAAAATGTTGTAAAATTACCTTTAAATATATGTGTATACATATATATATATATATATATATATATATATATATATATATATATATATATATATATATATGTATATATATATATATATATATATATATATATATATATATATATAATATATTTTAAGGTAATTTTAACAAAAAAGGATTATTATTTTTAAAATTTTTATAAAATTTCGGTTCTTTTGAGACCCAACATAACATACATTTGAAAAATCTTGTTTTTTTCTGTCAAGGGTCTCGTTGCAAGTTTGATTTAAGATGGCCCCCATAAATCTTTTTTAATTTTGAAAAAAATTTAACAGAGTTGCTTGTGAGAACCAATAGAAAGTTTTAAGAATAAGGAAAGATCTATTTTTGAAAGTATAGGGCAATAGATGTATTTTTGAAAGTATGGGGCGTTGGATGTATATAAAATTTTTCTGTG